AAACTAATTATTCTTAACAACAGAATTTTGCCACATCTGAGATAATCTCATGCAGCCCGCACTGTATTCTCTATACTTGCAAAGATACATAATATCCTATCATTGCAAAGACTGAACACCTTGAACAAAACTTACTATTGCAGCAAGACAATGTACTTATCATTGCAAAGATAAAACACATCTTATTGCAAAGATGAAACATGTCTTATCATTGTAATTTACATAAATGAATATTTAAGGCTGCATAATTATTATACTTAAAAAAAAAAAACAGGCAATGTATTAATGAGCACTCACAGATAGAAGCAGAAAGCCAGAAGAATTTGTTATGCTGTCTAGTGAGTCCTTCTATCTTCCTACTTCTTTCTATGAGTGCTTATGATTGTAAACATCCAACGTGCCTTATGACTGCAGTGGCACAACAGACTTTATCACTCCAAGGACTCACTATACCTTTCTACTGCAAAGACAACATACTTTGTTCCAAAAGACACACCATACACCCTAGTGATTATGCAGTAAAACTTTGTTAACATGAACTCACTTAAGGAGAACACTGTGACACATAAACTCACTTAGGAATAGTACTGTTAACATGAATTTGCTTAAAAAGAACACTGTTAACATGAGCTCGCTTAAGAACACTGTTAACATGAACTTACTTAAGAAGAAAACTGTTAAAATTAACTTGCTTAAGGAGAAAACTGTTAACATGAACTTGCCTAAAAACACTGTTAACGTGAACTCATTTAAGAACACTGTTAACATGAACTCACCTAAGAACACTGTTAGCATAAACTCGCTTAAGAACACTGTTAACATGAACTCGTTTAAGAACACTGTTAATATGAGCTCGCATAAGAACACTGTTAACACGAACTCATTTAAGAACACTGTTAACATGAACTCGTCTAAGAACACTGTTAACATAAACTCGCTCAAGAACACTGTTAACATGAACTCGCTTAAGAACACTGCCAAAATTTTTTTTAAATTTGCCTCAACCCGGATGTATTATTTTATCAATACCCAGTTAGCAAAACTTTTGATTAACAAAAACTCAATCTTTTGGTCCCTTGGAATTTGTGTCAACGATTCCCCATGAGGGTTCTGGGAGCCCATGCTGGGGAGAGAGAGGAAAAAAACACAGGCCCACTGCCTCCCCAACAAGCATTCATACAATGCGGCTAATTAGGGAAGTGTCCTCTGAAGTCAGAGTGCATCTGTCTGAGAGGCGAGGAACCAACAGTCTGCATAAAAATCGGCCAAATCTGTAAAACAGCTGTGCAGGTAAAACTCAAGTTGTGGAACAAGACCAAAGTCCAGAAACAACCAGAACTTGATGCCTGGGTGTTCAGCTGGTGAACACTATGAAGAAGAAGAAGGAGTGTTAACCAAGCTTCACTGTACAAGGCTTTAATTATAATGAAATTATTTTTATATCAAGTTGGAGCAATGAGGGCAAAAACTGGCATAAGTGGCATAGGGTTGCGAAGGCAGTTTCAAGAACTTTACATACCGATGTTTGGAATCAGCAGCAGGTGATTTGTTAGCAGTTGTTTACGTGTCGTTTCTGACAACAGTAAGAGCAGCATAATGTTCAGAAAGCTTTCTGAACGACTGGTGGTGGACACTGACAAGTCTCAGAAACTAACCAGATTATGTGCCCTAGGAGAAAATCATGATGAAGCTGTCTATACTGTCTCCGAGGAGAAAATATAATACATTATAATGAAATTTTTGTTTTTGTTTTTTGTTTTTTTTGTTAATGAAAACAATCAGTAGATGTTCCTTGGGGTGGCTACTGCATCAAACGGGTGAACACGCAGGGAAACGCACAATGTGCAATGAAGATGATTGTCTTCTTCTACTACTTCATCACTGGCTATAAACTCTGGTGGAAAGTCTTAGCTGCTTTTCCACTGCTGGGCCCGAGTCTTGTTCCAGAACTTGACTTTTGTGTGCACAACTGTTTTACTGATTTGACTTATCTGTATGCAGACTGTTGGCTCACATCTCACAGAAAGATGCACTCCGACTTTAAAAGAAACACTCCTAATTAGTCAACATTTTTTGACATGCTAGTTGGGAAGGCACTAGGAATATTCTTTTTTTTTTTTCCCTCGACAACTGGGTGCTGGAACCCACAAGGAAAAAGTTTATTGTCATAACATAACTAAATATAAAGAAAACTGCCTGGTAAAATCACACAACAGACAAAAAATGTTTGGTTTGGTTTACGATGTGAGAAGAGGACGTGCACAGAACCTGCATAATTTATTGTTTGGCATACGTCACTGCATCGTATCATTTGCACAGTGCAGAAAGTTTTATCAATACATATACTGAAGCCCCAAAATGAATCCTTCTGGCTGTCATCTTCCTCTGCTTTTTAAGTTAAAAAGATTGATTGACACAATGTATTGCGGTTTACAGCTAGGCTGCATAAACTATACCTTTCAGTACAACAAATTTTATTTCAGTAAGCCTTCAATATGTCACCTTTTACGAAATGCTTGGCAAGGGACAGTGGGTATATTTATTAATTATGTGTGTGTGTGTGCATGCATGTGTGCAAATGTGTATGCACACATATGTGCACATGTGTGTGCATGCGCGCCCAGACTGGGAGTTCGGATAATGACAACAGGAGTATTGGAAAATACAATTATAATTAAAATGATCTGTGTAGAGGCAGACTCCTAGAAATTATTCTGGATGTTCAAGATGGAATATCATCAAAGGATCTGAAATGGCGAGGAAACAAAGAAAAACAGAATATGGAATATAGAGATATTTCTCTAATACCTCTCATCATTGTGGGACAATTATTCCTACCTGCTACAAAAACGACAACAAAGATTTATTTTTAGTGCAGAAAACATTAAACACACTTCTACAAAATCAGCTGGCCAGTTCATCGACACACTCTGTCACTTCTCGTCTGTGCTTTAAATGCTCCGCTATGATTTGTGAGAACTCGGGTCGATTCAACAGCTGATATGCCAGTGGGAGAAGGGAGGCTATTTGTGGGCCAAGCACTCTGGCTCCGAAACTGAACAAATCCAGCCCAAGCTCTAGTCCCTCTCCATAGTCACACTCGTCATTAGCAAACTGAACTAGAGTTATCAGCTCCTGCAAGCCCTCCATGTGCTTGTCCCTGTCTGACTCGGTCTTGGCTTCAGAGATTTTCTTCAGCAAAGCTCGAAGATTACCTGCAATATTATTTTGAACATTTAATGAGTGTATTTAGATCAATGCATTCATAATATCCCCACATGTTCAATCCCCCTCCTCAGCAGCCAGCAGAGAGTTCTCATGCTAACTGTACCAACAGCAGCCTTATTAGAATCAGCTTATCCTTTTTCGCCCAAATATCACAAAACCTATTCTTTTTCTGCTCTTTACCCCTTGATGAAGCATAAGCCCATAACCACACAAGCCCATAACCAATTCACATCAAGTTGCCCTATCCATTGCTACAGCCCACAGCTCACTCCATGCCCTCCACCTTCTTCTTCTTCTCCTTCTTAGCATTCCCAGCTAAAAACTCAAAACGAAAAGATCTGGTTGTTTGTCCACTTCTTGACTTTAGCCTTGTTCCAGAATTTGGGTTTTGCGTAGACATCTGTTTTACGGATCTGCCTTATTTGTGTGCAGACTGTTGGTTCCTCGCCTTTCAGGCAGGTGCACCTGGACTTGGAAGGCAAAACCTCTAATTACTTACCTTTTACCACATGCTTTTAAGCGTGCAGTAGGTCTATCCCCTCTCCTCATCCCCAAAATGGGACTACAGAATCCCCACGGGGGAACCCCATCATCTTAACTTCACTCTGTATTTCCCTTCTCCGTGTGTTTTTGATCTGCCATTATTTCCTTCCCCTGTAAGTTCCAGTGTAAAGACATCCTGTGTCTACTGTTCACAATTTTTCTCAATGTGCGTCTTATCAAACACCAGCATCTTTTCCTCTTCTCTTGATTCAATGGGATTTGTTAAGTTCCATTTAAACTCTGCAAGCTGATCTGGTTGTTCTGTTTGTTTTTCCCGCAAGTACACACAAATCGCCCTACTTTACCAGCATGCCTAATCGCAGCCCGACACTGTGTAGTTATAAGAGACAAGAATAGTTATCAGAGAACATTGTAATGTATGAATAAAATCAGCCATAGTTTGGGCAGTTGTAGGTAGAGAGCAATTACACTAGTCAGTTTGAGCCAATCTGTCAACCTACTCATTACCCCATACACACCCACATATTCTAAACCGAACATCAGATGAATGAACAGGAGTAGGAACGTGATCAGATGAGTGAACAGGAGTAGGAGCGTGATCAGATGAGTGAACAGGAGTAGGAGAGTAATCAGATGAGTGAACAGGAGTAGGAGCGTGATCAGATGAGTGAACAGGAGTAGGAGCGTGATCAGATGAGTGAACAGGAGTAGGAGAGTAATCAGATGAGTGAACAGGAGTAGAGTGTGATCAGATGAGTGAACAGGAGTAGGAGAGTGATCAGATGAGTCAACAGGAGTAGGAGCGTGATCAGATGAATGAACAGGAGTAGAGTGTGATCAGATGACTGAACAGGAGTAGAGTGTGATCAGATGAATGAACAGGAGTAGGAGCGTGATCAGATGAATGAACAGGAGTAGAGTGTGATCAGATGAGTGAACAGGAGTAGAGTGTGATCAGATGAATGAACAGGAGTAGAGTGTGATCAGATGATTGAACAGGAGTAGGAGTGTGATCAGATGATTGAACAGGAGTAGGAGTGTGATCAGATGAGTGAACAGGAGTAGGAGTGTGATCAGATGATTGAACAGGAGCAGGAGTGTGATCAGATGATTGAACAGGAGTAGGAGTGTGATCAGATGATTGAACAGGAGCAGGAGAGTGATCAGATGATTGAACAGAAGTGAGTAGGAGTGTGACCATATGACTAAGATAAGAGAGTGTGTAATTCAAGAAACAAATATCGAATACAGTGAATCAAACAACTAACCTGGAGTCTCAGGAACAGGCCGGTAGCCCACATCGTTGCTGTCTACTGGGACAACAATACCTGCTCCGTGAAAGGTAGGACACACAACCTTCTTCTTTCTGTCCTTCATGTTTTTCGTTGTCTCGGAAAGTGATAAGTTCTGCTTCTTGGCTTCCACTTCTAACGACTTGATGAGCTGTTCGATGCATTTTTTTGTCTTGCCTGAACTTGATTTTAGAAGCTTACTGGCATAAATGCTGAAAGCAACACACAACACCTATTCGTAAAATTTATAGCTGCAATGTTCTTGTCTTCAGAAATTAAAATGTATTTTACATGATGCTTGTTTCAATTACACTGTATTTTACAAGAATCTTACATTAGTTACATTGTATTTTAAAAGAGGTTTACATAAATTCAAGGACCTATTTCCACACTTTCAAGCGCACTGGGCATATAGGGCTAAATCCATATTTTATAGATTAATCGGCAATCGGTGGGTATTAAGGTCAACATTATGCCAGCTGCCTTAACTTCCCATTTAAAACTAGGTCGACTTGAGAGTCGGGTGGTTAACAGCTAGCCTCCGCACAGTTCCTGGCTACCTAGTAACAAAAGTTTTTCACAAAGGGGCTCACATTATTACACTGTACTTCACACCAGGCTAATTTATTACACTGTCCCAGGGTCAGTTCCAGGGCCCTACTGGGGGGGAAGGAGGGGGGAGGACTGGGGCCCACTACCATATGCCATAAAAAGTGACAATTAAAGGTTTGCTGAAACAGGGTGTGCTGGGCTGAAAAATTAAGATATTGCAGCCTAGCTGTAAACCGCAAAACAGTGTACTAAATGCATTTTTAAGGGTGAATGCAGATAAAGATATTTTGCTGTGGGCCCTTGTTTCCCAGCAACTAATTGTTTTTTTCGACTTGACAAATGGGTTCAAGTCTAATAGTGTCTTTTATTATCAATGAGCAGAAGTCTTGCACTCTATTTTACATAAATTATACAATATTTTACAAGGGACAATATACTAATTAGAACATTTTTATCCCTTTCAGACAGTGGTACAAAAGCAGTACTGTCAAGGAAATTGGTAGCCTCATTACGTAAAATTTCCAATGGCAGCATTTAGCTACACATGCCACTGGCGTCAACCTCCAATGTGGAGACGGCACAAAAATATAATAATTAATATTATATACTGAATACAATGTATTTTACAGGACCATTGTGATGCCATAATTTACCTTCACACAGTAGTCAAACAGAGGCGAGATCGCAGGGTCAAATATGAGTCATAGAAAGAACACAAATTTTTCAGGACCAAGGGTGTGAAACTAATTTAATTTTCCCCTTTGTTCTTACTTATTGATTACTCTCCATTATTTATATTAAATAATAATTTGAAAATTTTCATCGATACATTTTTAAAACTATTTATTAGTGACCTGTGTAAAATGTTTGTCTCTTTAAAGATTTTTTTTTTTTTTTTAGAATTATCAGGAATATGTATTTTTTTCTTCCTAGGGTTGCTGAGGTGTAAGGGTTCATATAAGAATTAAATAATCTGTCTGATAAGCTAGAAACAACATCAAACCACAAACAGTAACATTTAGGAAAGCAACAACAACCAACTACTCAAAAACTTACTAAACTGCTGCAAACAGATTGTCCCCACAAGGGTTGATTTTCTCTGGGGAGGCGCTCCCTGGTGAGTTGCTAGCTACAAATGCTGGTTTCTCCTTGGGATCATCCCTGTAAATAAAAAGAAACTTGTTGCAGAAAAAGAAGAAAGCATTTTATGTGATGCTTGTTGTGGGAAATCAGACACACTAATAGAGAATGAAAGAGAAAACCTGGTGCAATGAAGTAAATCCTCTTATAGGTAAACATTAATTTTGTCCTCGCTCTTTTTTATTTGTGTTTTTTTTTTAATTTAAGTTTTCAAGATGGCAATAAGCCACTGTGTTAGTGTTAACTATCTGCGATTTTCTTTCGGGTTGTTATGTTTCCTTACCATTTCCAGCACAGGATATGTTTGTTTTTTTTCATGGGAGTAGCGTGTATGATGGTTGCCATGTGTCTGTGTGAGGTGATGACTGACAAAAATGGCAGCCTTGACCAGAAAACTGTGCTTGCAATGTTTTCATTGTGGCAGTCCACTATGTGAGTAGAGAGAACTCAGCTGGGGACTGCAACGGTCCTAATAGCAAGCTGGGGGGAAAAACTGTCCCCAGAAACGGAATGTGTCAACTATTTTTGTTGTTTATGGGAGGAGCTGATACATATGGTTAACTCAATGGCTTGCTGTCTTTTATTTAATGCTCTATATTAATAAGCTTTTACCAGGCAGCTGTCAGTAACTACTAATGCTATCTAAGTTTTTCTCCTGATGTGTAACCTAAAAATTTTGTAGGAGACATAACGGAGGTGGAGACAGAAATGGCAGCTTTTCAAAGGCTTGAGATCAACATGGAGGTGGAGACAGCAACGGCATCTTTCTAAAGGCTTGAGATCAACACACTGTAATTGTAATGAACTATCAGAGCATGCTTCAGAAAATTAAAACTGGTGTCCTACGTGTAGAGTGGCTTGTATCACTTGACAGGACTCAGATGAGGAACTTATAATGGTTTTCCTAACCAGGACATTCAGGTGTGCGAGGTAACAAGCAGGCAGACAGATTAACTGCTGCTGATGCTCTGGGCAGTGAGCTACTATATGATAACGCGGACTCAGTGAAGGCTCTCTAGGATCAAATGGACAGTGCAATAGAACAGACAGAGAATCCATACAATGAAAGATTAATCCAACAGGAGGTAAGCAGAGGTTCTGGAAGATATTCTTCTTCTTCTTTCATTCGCCTTTAGTAAATTATCTATAACTGTAATGCTGTCTCTAGTATGAACTTACTTCACTGTCTTTTGTAATTCACTTAGCTGCCTGTAAAGTTTGGCTTACAGCTTAACGCAATCCTAATCAGCATAAAGTGACATCTCATACAAAGCATTTTCATTCCCACCCTATGCTACCAGTGCCAGACATGGTCACTCTCAACAAAACATAGAAAATTAGTAACCATGGAAATGAGGTGTCTGAGAAAGGCTGTCGGAGTGACCAGAAGTGATAAAATCAGGAATGAGGTCATATGAGATAATGAGACAAAAGTCGACACAGAACCAATTCTAAATTACATAGAAAGACAGCAAATCAAATGGTTTGCCCACTTGGAGAGAATGCCTTCTGATGCTAAACCATTCAAGGCATATACCAGAAGAGGAGACTGACAGAGCAAGAGGTAGACCAAGAACAAAATGGAAGGAAAACATCAGAGAAACTCTACAGTACCATGATGTGTCTTTGGTCGAAGAAGCCAGAAAAGTATGAATCAGGACCTCTACTCTCCCCCAAAAGAGGATGTAAAGAAGGAGAAAGTTTGGCTTCTAGTGTCCCTCTTGGCCAGATGTTTTGTCTGGAAATATATCTGGGACAGTCTTAGAGGATGTGATCTGTTGTCTCAGGTGCCAATCAAGAGGTGCACATGGCTAAAAAGCCAATCTTAAATTTTATGTACATGAGGCTGCGAAGTCGATTGTGCCCTGTTCAAAGGCGTATAATAATGACTTGCTCTGGTTTGTCCATATTACGGCAATCGTCTTGTGCCAGTTTTGGTGGCTTTCTGAATGATTAGGTTATTCTCTTCTTCTGTTGATAAGAGACTGGCATGTCAGGTTGTTTTTCAATTACACCTTCCTTAACTAGTTTATCAGCTCTTTCATTTCAGGGAACTCCACAGTGGGATGGTATCCACTGCATAACTACATTACACCAGTTGCCTAGTTCAAATAGCCGTGTCCGTATACCTGGTAATTTTCTAGACTGGAGTGCCTGAGGTACTATTTTTGCATCTGTCAGGAATACCTCTGGTTGTGAAATAGACCAGGCATTTAGTCGTTTCTCTGATGATATCTTGATGGCTTAAACCAGCATCGTAGCCCCAGCTTTGGGAGGGGTTACTGAAATCTTCACAAATGATCATTCTTTCTTTTACCGTATCCTGTGTCCGAGGGCGGTCGCTCAGACGGTAATAGCTGATTAGATGTAAGTCTGTATTTACTGTCCTGAGATTAAGAGTTTGATACTCAGCATCTTCCATGTATGTTTCAATTTGGCCCGCAAGGATGTTATTTTTGACCAGGGTCACCTTTTCTCCTGTCTTTTCGGTCAGATATGAAACAATGGTAGCTTCTCATCTTGAAGGCTATGTCTTGTTTGAGACAGGTCTCTTGGAGGCAGCATACGTGTATCTGCTCTTCTTTCTAGGTGTTTTCTAGTTCTGTTTTAGTATTTACTCGCTCTGTGTTGCAGTGCATTATTTTTAGACTAGCTGTATTTTCTGTTCTTCTGGTTCTACCAGGTATGTAAGAGTGACTTCCAGTATTTTTAGCTGGACCCTTTTTACTAGACGTAGGCTGGTAAGACGTCCCATGTGTACCTGAGTTGGTCACATGGTGGGAATCATACCTGTCTGCAAATATAGATATATTCCCTACTGCGCATGTGAGTGGCATCCTGACTGCTGTGGTGCACCCCCTGGCTGGTTGCCTCCGACTTCAGCATCTTATTTTGCTAGGGTAGACCGTTGTCTTACTCGTGGACCCCCATATTTATAATAGGAGCGTGGCACCTACGGCTAAATTTTCGATATTAGGATAGAGCACGACAGTCACCGCGGAAGTTTGTCAGAATTAATTTCATCATAACACCCCTAAACCACAGAATAATTAGTTTCCACAAATAATAAAATATCCAACACAAATGAATATGTAATAAATTAACTTTGCTATAGGAAAAACAATCACTGATAAAATGTAAATTCTAATAAAATTGATGTGTCGTTGCAAAACCGTATTGGCACCGCCATTTCTAAACCAGAAGTCTGGAAGATATTCAACACTGAAGGGAAAGCATAGGCAGAATTTTACTCAGGTTGCAATTTGTACTATTAGCATGTCAACTCTTCCCTAGCTACTGAAGAAGGGGACTGAGCACATGTGGGAATGTCCCGACTGCAGTAATGTCAATTCATGATCCACTCATTCAAAGATTTGTGAGACACAAATTAACCGTATGTGTTGCAAGGCCCCACTTTAGGGGGTAAAAGAGTAAGCTCTCCATTCAATTGGAAAGTATGTTGTAAAAAGCGGCTAATTAGGAGTCTGCTGAAATTATAAATGATGGAAGGATGAGGCAAATCTGGAAATCCAACAATTACTGCAGAGGAACGAAACTCCGACTCTACAAGAGCATCATTTTGCCAGTTCTTCTTTATGGAGCGGAATGCTGGAGAATGACCCAAAAGGATGCACACAAGCTGTCCACCTTCCACCACACATATCTACGTACAATTATCAAAATTTTCTGGCCAGATACAATCTCAAACACTAAACTACTTCAAGTCACAAACCAAGAAACTTTAGACAGTATGATGACGAAGAGAAGATGGAAATGGCTTGGCCACGTTATGAGAATGAATCCTGATATACCCGCCAAAACAGCTCTCACATGGACACCAGAGGGAAAGAGAAAACAGGGGCGCCCAAAAACAACATGGAGACGAACTATGGAAAGTGACCTGAGTGCGGCATCTTTGACATGGAAAACTGCACTGAAGATTGTACAGGACAGGAAAGCATGGAAAGTCCTCTCTGAAGCCTCATGTGCCACTAGGCATAACGAGAACTGATGATGATGATGATAAAATTATAAATGCTGGGCTGAAAAGCAAAGATGTCATCATCTACTTATAAACCACAACACAGGATGCCAAGTGCCCTTTTAGGGCTGAACAAAGAAGCTCCTTACCTGTAGTAGCCCAGGTGAAACTTGGACTTCTCGTCTGAGGCCAACACTGTCTGGAATTCCGGGGGGTCGTAAAAATATCTATAGTGAAGAAGAAAATTGGGTCTCCGGCCATGTTTATTTTTTCGAACATGTTTATGTCTCCCAGAAAGAATGTCGAATGGCCCCACCAAAATCAGATTTAAGGATTCCTCTAGAGCACCTGGAAAAAATACAAAATGTATATGTGAGTGAGTGAGTGAGTGAGTGAGTGAGTGAGTGAGTGAGAGTGAGTGAGAGATGAGAGAGAGAGAGAGAGAGAGAGAGAGAGAGAGAGAGAGAGAGAGAGAGAGACAGAGACAGACAGACAGAGAGAGACAGACAGACAGACAGAGAAAAAAAGAGACTGTGTACATGTGTGTGTGTGCGCGCCTCCAAGACACGCGTGAGTTGATGATTAGAAATTGGTTGAGAAATTCTATGAAAGCTGCAAATGTGTTGGTTGTATAGAAGAATTACGATAAAATCCTGTGTAGATAAAAGTGATATAAAGATTTCTTGCAACAAATTAACTCACAGAGACAGCTAGTCACCTGCATCAAAGGAATACAGTCAACATTTTGTGGGGCATGGAGAAGGGGGAAAAAAAACTGGAAAATGCAGTGACAATGGGAAAGTCTGAAGGAGGGGAGGGCAAAGGAGAGAATACTATGTTGCCCTGTGTAGCCACAAACCAACACTTTCGGTTGGGTCCAATTTCCTGTAAATGTCACTTTACCGACTTCTGACTTATTTATAAGATGCATAGCTACCAGCACGAATATTATATGCCTGTGCAAACGTTCTGGAGAGCTGGTATTGATTACAGCATTTAAAGGGGGTTCTCTGTGAACAAATGGTTGTTTAACCAAAGTTATAATGTCCCAATATCCTAATACTAACAGTGGTTTCCGGTGACCAGGTTAGGAGATCAAGTAGGTCACTGTATAAATGTTTACAATGGTCAAAGAGAAGTAAGTTATTTTTCTGCTGCATTCTGTTTACTAATTACTATATAGAAATTAACATTGTTTTAGTCCACAAATGGAACTGTTAGGATTTTCCTGGTGATGCATGTAAAAAATATTTTTTAAAGGATTTTCAGGAATTATTGAATTTCCTAAAATACTGGTCATTAGCTTTTTTTCTTGGTCTCCGGTGCAAAAATGTAACTAACGATTTTCTTTTGTGGTACTTATGTAAAAAATTGTATATTTTTTAAAAGGATTTTTTAGGAATTCTAAAATTTCCAGTTTGTGTCCTCGGCTTTGTATTTTCCTAGGTCATCATGGCAAAATGTTAAGCAGTTCAGCAGCATGGTGTGTGTGTGTGTGTGTGTGTGTGTGTGTGTGTGTGTGTGTGTGTGGGGGGGTGTGGGCTGTGTGTGGTGTGTGTGGGGGTATGTGTGTGGGGTGTGTGAGTGGTTTGTGAGTGTGTGTGGGGGTATGAATATGTGGTGTATGTGGGGTTGGTGAGTGTGGGTTGTGTGTGTGTGTGGGGGGGTGGGGGGATGTGTGTGTGTGGGGTGGGTGTCTGGGGGGGGGGGGTGTTGACTTAGGGGGGTGGGGGGGGGTTTTACCTCATTTTGAAAAAAAAAAAATTTGCAGTACTTACGGGAGCAGGCTGTGGACTTAACACGATGACATGATGACCAACACCACACAGTATGGACTAAATGAAGAAAAACATGGGCTCACTTACGTGTAGGATTGCTAGGTTGTAATGTCTGACAGAACTCCCAAAATTGATAAAAATCGTCTGGCATCTCCACAAGAAACTTCTGCTTGATGTTTTCTTTCTCATCCTCAGGCGACGCAGGAAGACTGTCGTCATCTTCGGTATATTCCTCCTTTTCCTCCACACTTTCTTTGCTCATATCATCCTCATCTGTACTTTCTGTAGACAATTTTAATTCCTTTGCAACCACCTGAGATTGTATATCGGTTTTGACTTTCTTTGTAGAGGGTCGATCTGCATGCTCTCCCTCTGAATCTAGCATACAAATGAGAGAAAATAATTCATCTTTAAAATGTATAGATTGTTTTAGGTTTTTTTTTTTTTGGGTAATCAAAACAGAGATCAAGTAGGATAATTTATCTTCACAAATTCATCTTTTACTGTCTGCCAAAAACTGCCAATTACTCCCTTTATTTTACCACTTTTGCGGTGGGGGTGGAAGGTCTTTGAGCCTGGGGATTTACAGCCCCATGGCTAGTGCTGTCGCCATGACTGTGCAGGTGAGGATTGTATTTTGCCCCCGATAGAAAAAATCCCCAGCCTTACAGAGGATTCGAATCCGGGTCTCCCGCTTCTAACCGTTTGGCCAGTGGCTCCTTTCACTTTTTATTGTATCCCCCAATAAAGTGTATGCCTACAAGAAACTTTTTAGGGCTGCTTCGTTAATATCTATTTTTTTTTTTTAATTTACTTATCTGCTATTATTTTTTTTTATTATAAATCAAATCCCACTGATCTTAGACGTGTTTTGTCTTGTCTGCTAATTACCCTTATTTCATAAGCATACAAAAACTAAAGATCTATATAACACTTTAAAATGTCTGTGCTTACAGCAACTAATACCATTAAATTAATAACAAATGAATTAAATTAATATCAATAACTCATAATTTGAGAGAATGTTTTTGTTCCCGCACAGGTCTTCTTATTCTTCTTAACGTTCACTGGCTATAAATTCTGGCAGAAAGTTATTCGTCCATTTCTGGAATTCTAGTATTGTTCCAGAACTTTAGTTTTGCATGCATATCTTACAGATCTGGCTAATTTATTTATGTGCACTCTTGGTTCCTCGCCTCTCAGGCAGATGCACTCCGACTACACAGGAAACTCATAATTAGCTGCTTTCTACAACATGCTTATTACAGAGGCCGTGGGTATAATTCTATTTTTCCTCCACAATTCACATGTCTCAGAGCTTCAAGTGGCCAGACAGACATGGATCTGTCTTTGGAAGACCTCAGTTAAGTGATTTTGTGCATTCTTATTTGTAACTGTAATATGTGATTAGCTATACTTTTCAACTGGTTTGAAATTTTTTCTTGATATTTACCTGAGTCAGAGACTGTATGTGAGCGTGAGGGTTTCCCCAAAAATGTCTCAATCGTTGCAGCTTTTCTTTTCTTGTCAGGCTTCAAGTTCTCTGGCTTTGAAACCTCTTCAGCCTAAGAGATTATGAAAAGGTAATTATTATAAACACATCACTTTAGAGCAAGTCTTCAGAAAAACATTCCATTCATCATGTTTTGGAACAACACAAGACTAGGCAGGGTTACAAATATAAGTATTAGAGAGAATGCTGGAATAAAACCATGTCTGGATTATATTGACAACGAATGAAATGGTTTAGCTATCCAATGAAATGCAGCCAGACCAGACTTCATTTGAGACTTTTTACAGTAGAATATCTGGGAAGAAGGAGAGCAGAAGACCAAGAAAGAGATGGATAAATGATGTATTTGAAACCAGCACAAACAAAAAAAGATGAACAAATCCATCTCTCAAGCCACCCGAGAAGCGCAAGTCAAATACAGAAAACTACAATACTGAGCTACAACCTGGTATCAGTGAGACTACAAAAGTAAGAAAGAAGATGTGTTCGATTATTCTCAATTCTTTGCCAGTTCTTTTGCCCCACTGCCATGAGAGGGCTTTTTTAATATCATGTTTCCCATGCTTAACCGCTGGATCTTCTTCTATGAGCAATCTTCTCTGGGAGCAAGTAAACAATGCGGAAGCACAAATGCATAAACAGGGTCCAAAAAGAATGGTGCGCTGGGGAGTGACCAGTGGATTTGGTCAACACTCAACTGAAAGGCAAGACAGACATACAAGCAGACTGTTACTTGTACCATCATGATTGAAACTCTTCGCTGGCTGATGCAGATGAGGACCATGCTTATGGAAATGTCCTGTATACTGTGATGCTGGTTCTGAACTCAATCAGTACCAAGCATCGCACCATGCGCCTTAAAGTTTTTATATAAATTATACATATTCTTCCCTCCTCATCACTGACAACTGCTTACTGGTTCGCTGAATGTTTAATCGGTCACCGGTCGGTTGTTATGGAGGAGCAGTAATCACATCAACACTACAAAAGTCTTTCAAAGGCAGCGCTTCTCAACCTGCTGGTCGCGACCCTTTATTTTGGGTAGAACAACCCTTTCACATGGGTCACCTAAGATCACTGGAAAACACATATTCACTGAAGTTATAAAGAAACATAACTGTTTGTGGGTCGCCACAACATGATGGCACTGTATTAGAGGCTCACGGCATTAGAAAGGTTAAGAACCACTGTTCTAAGGGCTACTTGGTGGTGAACAATTAAGCCATGAATATGGAGTAAATAACCCTGACCATGAACATAATCTTACACTACTACGTAGGCTGGCTACCAGTAGCAGGTTAAACATGGCTGATTTTTTTAAAGGTAGAAACCCCCTCAAGAACACTAAAATTAGACCTGTTGCATTATGACTGATTTTAATCAGATAAATGGACTAAAGGGGGTTGCAAATTATTATTTATTGTGAAATCTGAAATTTTATGCAAATAAGGTTCAAATATGGCCGTCATACTAAAAATAGCTTCTTCTTTTTTTTTTAAAGATGATTTCTCATTAACCAGTTCACTCTTAACCATCAAATTTGGCACATATGTTTATAATAAGATGTTTTAGGGCCTGTAAAGTATTGTGGAGAAATGCACAAAGATTCGAAAAACATGCCAGACACTGCTGATGAATTTGAAGAGAAAGAGCATGAACCTCTACTAGAGGAACTAGGTATAGCAATAAAGAACCTGAAAAAAAAAAGGTAAATCTCCTGGATGTAACAACATATTAGCAGAGTTAAGTCAGACTGGAGAAGCTAGCGTCATTCTATACCATGTGTAAAAATCTAGAACAGTGCTGACTGGCCCAATGCGTGGAAAAGATCAGTTTATATTACCCTTCTGAAAACAAAAAGATACCTCAAATTATGTAACAATTATCGCTCTAATTAGTCATACCTGCAAAATTCTTCTTCAGATCATCTTGAGGGGAATGGATAATAAACTGGAATATGAATTACAAGAAGCACAAGCGAGTTTTAGACGGGACAGAGGAACTAGAGACCATATTTTCAATATGAGAATCATCCATGAGAAGTGTAGAGAATACAAGATAGATCTTCATACTTGTTTCATACAGTACAACAAGGCAGTTGACTGTATGGAACACCATAAACTGTGGCGTATAATGAGAGGCATGGAGTTCCAAAACATCTGGTGCACTTAATGGAATCTCTTTACCATGAACAACAAGCAGCGGTCAGAGCAGCTGGTGAAACATCAGTGTTTTGAAGTGCAGAAAACAGTGAGACAGGGCTGCATTCTTTCTCCGTCCCTTTTTAACATATACTGAAAATGTTATGAGAAACGCAATTTGTGTTGAGGCATCTGAGAGCTATGATTCACTAAATATTGGAGGTAATCTTATCCCAGAAATCAGATATGCAGACGACACAGTTCTCCCTTCCAATAGTGTACAAAGTTTACAAAAATTAATTCTGGCCATCAAAGAGCATAGCAAAGAATTTGAAAAAAAAAATAATGTCCCCAGTAAATATAGCACACCAACCACATATCGCAAATTGAAAATGAAGAAATAGAAAATGTTACAGATTTTGGCTCTCCTTTAAATAACGGTCGCTAGCTGGAAAGCTGACGGTCGCTTAGTCGGAGTGCGCTCCCTTGGCTGCATTGCAAATACGGAGCGTAAAGAGGGAACAAAACAAATGACATACTTACTTGTCATCATACGGTTGCGTAGGGTGTAGGGTAGGGTGTGGGTTAGGTTTAGGGTTAGGGTTAGATGTGACAATTGTGACGCAGGAGTTCCAAATACTGGCCGACAATCTGATGCGTGTGGGAGTGGCGCCACTGAAATTCTCCTAAATAGGACAGCAATAGCGCGCGGCTGGTGCCCAATTGATGGCCAATTGTCCGTTTGAGTAGCATCCACAGTCCTTTAATTGTTTGGGTGTGTATGTGACTGTGCGCGATAATTTGGAACTCCTGCGTCAAAATTGTCACATCTAACCCTAACCCAAACCCTACCCTACCCCTAACCACGCAAACTTATCGGTCATTGAGGCATACAGATCTGCAGGAGTCACATCCGTGGCAACTAAGTTATGCGTCGCAAAAACGTGGTTGCTACTGTGAGTCGGAGCTCGATGTCTAACTGCCATGTTGACCTTGTTTTTGATTCGTGACTTTTCCACTCCGTATTTGCATTGCAGCCAAGGGAGTGCACTCTGACTAAGCGACCGTCGGCTTTCCAGCTAGCGACCGTTATTTAAAGGAGAGCCCAGATTTCAAATACTTAGGCTATTTAGTGAACAACAGTGGAGACTGCTCGATGCAGAGATTAAACAGCATGAAGAACCTATGGCAAAGCACCTGTAAATTAGTTATGAAGAACCTATGGCAAAGCACCTGTAATTTAGTTAAAGTAAAAATCTTGAGATCATGCATTTTTCCTGTGGCAACTTGGGGTTGTGAGTCCTGGACTCTCAATCAGTGAAGAAAAAGACTGGAGCTTCTGAATTGAAATGTTACAGATCAGAACATTACGTGCCGTGAGGAGGGCGACGTTCTGTAAAGTGTAAAGGACACGAGGACTGCTGATGATGAGGGCCTGTAATCGAACTGTTTAATTTGTTTAAAAGTTTTTCGTGTAGAATTGTTTTAATGTTGATTATTTCACACATAAAAAGCAGAATACTATTAAACTTCGCTAGCATCTCTAACTCTTCTAATTCTAATACAAATATGACGGCATCTGTTGATCTTATTTATCTACCTTTTTTTCTTCATTGTCGTCATGCCCTGGGTGTCTATAATTCTTTATGTGCTGTGGGTTCTTGCGGTAACATTTGCTACCGTATTGACAAACTGGTTTGGCTGTGTCTGCTTCTTTCTTCTTCGAGACGCCCGCCATTTTTGATTTTCTCTGTGTGTGGGGGCAACAGTGTTGCCACTTTTCTTTGACAAAAAAGATCCAAAACGGGGTTAAAAAAATATCTAAAAAGATCTAAATTTGCGTGGAAAATATTTTTAAAAAATATCCAAATGAAAAGAGTCACAAATTACAAAACTATTGAAATGACTTACCCTATAGACACATGTCCTCATCTTCACTGATGTCTGCTTCACAAGATCCACAGGATAAACTTAGCTTGGATGATGAAGTTGTAGCTTCAGATCCCAAATTACTCTGGTATGCTTTAGCTGTTCCTATTTCTTTTAATACACAATCAGGGAGCTGATAAGTGGAACAGCATTTTCCTACTCTCATCAGGCAAAACTTTATTGTCAAGATAGCATTTAAGAGGTCTAATTTCATCCTGTTTCTTAGGTTAGATTTGATGTAATTCATAGCACTGAAAACTCTTTCTACGTCAGCATTTGAGTGGGGTAGTATCATGGCAGACATGGCACATTCAAAGAGTTTACAGAATGGACTGTTTGATGAGGCATCTTTAAATTGTCTCACTTCACTCCAAAACGCTTCAGTTTCTGTTTTGTTTGTCCATTCAACTAAGTTTATTTTGGTTAACTGATATTCTGCTTCCGCGACACTATTGTCAGTAGCCCCTAAAAATTTCATAACTTTACAATATTTAGGTATGTCCTTTACTGGCTGAAGTATGTTGCTCACAGAAAAGAGTGAAATATGTTTCAATACATTAGATTTTCAGGAAGTCTCTGCTTTAGTTGCTTGAACAATGAGATAATGAAATCTTGACAGCGTTTTCTTAAGTTGTTTTCTTCATTCTCTGTTAACAGTCCTTTTGTTTTTAAATCATCAATTTTTTATTCAATTTGATATCCAAGGTATGGCTTAGGAGCCAAATAGCTCTCTATAGTGCAAGTGAGCAAATCAACTTTTGAAGTTGGCAACACCAGTCTTTTACCAACTGAGTAAAATAGCAAAGTGAGATCGTCAAGTAATTTAACTTTATCAACATGTTTGGATTGGAACAGTTTATTAACTTTTTGCACTTCCATTAGAATAGGTTGTAAAAAGAGAAGGAATGCCAAATTTTTTTCATCACTGTACATTCCATATAATATCTCAGCTGTGTAGCACTTTTCATTTTGTCTTGTTATTTCAAAGTGTGTCTTTAACTCCAACCATTGGTTCACAATTCTTTCAACAGCTGGTTGTATTGATAACCACCTGGTTTTGCAATCTGACAGAATTTTCAGTGGTGTGGAACCATTATTTAATGCTGAATACAATGCATTGTATTGCTGTTGTCTGACAAATGATTTTGAAAACCAGTTATGTGTTTCAGCAATAAGGTATTCCAAATTCCTTGGTAAACATTCAGATGAAGCATGTGATAATGCTAGCTGCAATGAATGACGCATACATTTTATAAGTATTAACGATGGGTTAGCTTCCTTCAACTTGGCATAAAAGCCATTGTTTATGCCAACCATCACTGAGGCATTATCGGTACCAATTGCAACCAAATTTGTCAAGTCTAACTGTTTGCTGATTAAAAGGTTCTTCAGTTCTTGAACTATACTTTCTGCATCACACTTTTCCAATTGAACTAGTCCAAGATATGTAAAAACTACTTTGTCTGTATTGTTGCTGTAATATATAATACACACACCAAGCACTTTCAGTACCGAAATATCATTTGATTCGTCTAATAATAAACTATATTTATTTGTAGAAATATCACTGATCAAATCTTTTTCGAAGTGACAAAATAAAGTATTTCTTATAATATGTGTACACTTGCTGCGATGCATTTTCACATCATCCATAACTTTATTGTCAGAAATTGTGTTTTTAAACAAATCAATCAAATGGTCACAGTTTGAAATTGCACAATGGCAACTTAAAAACATTGCGACTGATACTTCAACTTTTGATGATTCATTTATCAGTGTAGTTCTGAAAACAGATGTCAGCGGTGTAATACCTTTAAACGGAACTGCAGTTTTATGCTTGTTAGTCTCTGCATGCTTCTTTAAGTCTTGTATTTTCGCTTTAATTTCACACTTGCAGTACTTACAACGAGCCTTGGTTATAATATATCCCCAGGAACTGCCATCATCCAGTCTTTAATTTTGTCATCATGCAACCACTCTTTACGAAATTTTTGCTCATACTTTACTTTTGGCATGTTGAAAGGTTTTTTCAAAGTGAAAGCCACACAAGAAGGTGAGCAATTATTTTTTAAAAATCACATGAAAAAGAAACACAGAGTCAGCATCACAGCTATACTTCACAACACAGTGAGGATACGGTTGAAACAAAGTTAGTATGATTTACGCGCGATTTCGATTAATCAGCACCGGGGTTGTCAGATATTTGTGTGTTGACCCCAGTGAGAGTTCAAAGTTTAAGTAATGGCAGTTGCCACAATGTACGTGCCAGACCAAAACAAAAATATTTTAGTAAATATTTTACTCAATAATTATTAAAATGACACTAAAAGAAAAATAAATCTATAAAATATCTAACTCCATATGAAAAGAATCTAGAAAAATATTTAGTATCTAAACGTCAAAAACAGGATCTAAACGCAATGAAAAAGATCTAAATTTGGATACAAAAGATCCAAAGTGGCAACACTGGGGAGCAATCATTGTTGGCCTGGTCTCTGTCAAATTTGCTTGCAACTGCGTCATTTTGTTTTCTGCCCTTCATCCCAGTGGAGTAAAGGCCTTCAACTAACTCTAGCAAAGTCAACCTATCCTTTGATAGTGCATACAGCTTTCCCAAATTTCCTCCTTGTGGTTTTAACTTCACTCTCTATATGATATTTTCACTTCCGGTCCTTTTTAGGATGAAACTTTTCGTAATTTGAAGCCCTACTCTGGCTCTTTCCAGGGGCCGCAATATAGCCCGGCCATAAATATGGCCTATTGGCTGAACGCGGTTTCTGTGATTCTCCACGGTGATCCTCGTCCACATGGTGGCACATTGTGTCATCGGGTGTTTATCGCTTGTGTGATGTCCTAGTGGGGTTGGGGGAGAAAACTTCACTTTCTAGTTCTCTTCTCCTTGTGTTTTTTTCTTTATGTCTGCCTTCATTTTGGTGGGTTTGTTTCATGTTATGTTATGTTATCACAATCGAATTCTTTGCTATTGGGTATCAGTCCTCCAATGTAAAGGTCACTCTAAAGTACCTCTATTGCTTTTGGCTAAGATCAAAGTGTAGTATCTGTTCTTTCTCATCCTCGCATATTTGGACCTGGATCACGGTCATGCCGAGTCTGCAATAACTCCCATGGTCTAATTAGGAAATATGGCCTCAATATCTGCAGACGTTGTTTCAGGCAGTATTCAGATGACATTGGATTCAAAAAGCTTGACTGAACTCAGCTTATGATGTCTGTTGTGAAAGTGTCCACACTTGATTAGCTATTTCAATAAATGGGTGTGTTAAACTAAAAAAAAAAAAAAAATATGTTCTTATCAGCGTCCTGATAGGCCCAGTCGGAGTGCCTATCAACGGAATAGCGGCGCTGTACCGCTACTCGAGGACCACCGAGTGGTACCTCACCCTCACGGAAGCAGCTCACAGGACTCATTACGACCTCCTGCGCAATGTGCGGAAAACAGTAGAAGGTGTGGATGTTCTTCTAGAACATCTAGACAAAGTCAAAACAAAAATCTGCATCCATTGGATGCCAGTTACAGCCACGGAACAGACCGTGACAAAAATCATTACCGGAATCACGGGAGACGAAGATCCCGAAACTTACCAGACAAAACACGGCATTGACAGATGGCATGCCTCGGTGAGGGAGACAAAACCGATCCCTCATTATGTCAACATGAGGAATCCGGCGCTCCCCGGCGGCAAACACCAGCTCTGGGTCACTGTGCCAGGCAGAAGGACGAATTGTCCACACTGCGGGCACAACGACCACTGGGCGAACAAATGCCCTACAAGAAGGAGACGACCCGAGCCAGCACCAGCAAAAAAAATCCCACAAGAGGAGGCTTTTCCACTCCTGATAGAGTCCTCCCAAGAAGCAGAAGATGAGCCGCAGAAGGAAGAGACTTCTTCCGAGAACGCACAGCCATCTGCAGAAGAAGAAGGTACAGGAGTTCAAAAGACCACTGCAAACAAGAAGAAAAAGAACAAAAAAATGAACCGGCCAACCAGTTCAAACGACACATCACCGACAGTACCTAAAATCGGACAAGACAAACCAAGAAGTGAAAGCACCCCGAAAAAGAAGACAAGAGAAGCCAAAACTGGAGAAACTGAGGACAACAACCCTTGCTACTGGGAGATCCAGTGCAGCGGCTGTTACACGAAAACAGGGACATCATCACACGCAAAATGGGATCTCAAGTGCAGAGGGTGTCAGTGGCCCTTAGCAACAGCTAGCGACGCGGAATTACGCCTCGTAAGCGGACACGCCACCCTCGCGGAGAAGGTTCCCATCAAAAGGACCCAGAAGAAGCTGGTCCTTTAAATTAAATGAATGGAGTCCCTCTTTTCTTTATTTCCCCGGCCCCAGCACTTTTTCCTTTCTCTCTTTGTTTTGTTACTTTTCCATTTCCTTTTTGTATTTTGAAATAAAATTTGAATGCACTCACAAACAACACCACAATAACACGCACAAACGGCAACGAATGTAAAAACAGACTTAAAAAAATACTCGCAACATACAAAACACAAACACACACACACACAAAATATTGAATATTCCCATGAGGAGTTGGTAATAGTATCTCATGTCTTTACCTCGAAGACGGCATAGACGTACGTCGTCAAGCTTACATCCTATGTCACGCAGTCATGTTAGCAGAAATTCGCCACACAAAATATTGAATGTTCCCATGAGGAGTTGGTAATAGTATCTCATGTCTTTACCTCGAAGACGGCATAGACGTACGTCGTCAAGCTTACATCCTATGTCACGCAGTCATGTTAGCAGAAATTCGCCGTCCGCCCC